GCCTTGCTCTGTTGCCCAGGCTGGAGTGCAGTGGCACAATCATAGCCCACTGTAACCTTGAACTCCTCCCTCAGCCTCCCAAGTAGCTGGGACTATGGGTATGTACCGCCATGCCTAGCTAATTATTATTATTTTTTGTAGAGATGGGATCTCCCTATGTTGCACAGGCTGGTCTAGAACTCTGGCCTCAAGTGATCCTCCTGCCTTAGCCTTCCAGAGTGCTGGGATTACAGGCATGGGCCACAGTACCCAGACTTTTGTTTCTAATATAGATGTTCAAGGTTATTAATTTTCTCTCCAGTTGCTGCCTCAGTCACATTCCTGTACTTATTTTCGTTATAAAATAGTTTGAAAATGTTTTCTATATTTATTTAAACTAATTTTTATTGCTTCTTTTTTTGGCTCATGAGCATTAGGAAGTTAATTTCTATTTTTATGACTTTTTTAAAAGTTGAGTTTTACTTTATATTCAGTGAAATGCACAGATCATGTGTGTTGTTTGATAAGTTTTACCAAATGTAGATACCTGTCTAAATCACACATCTATTAACATAGAGACCATTTTCATGACAGCAAAAACGTATGCTTTTTCTATCAGTTCTTTCTCTTCCCTGCACGACGTGAAGCAAGGACTATTTTTATTTTTAGCATCACAGAATAGCTTTGCCTTTTATAAAATTTAACATAAATGGAATCATACTATATGATTCTCTTTACGTCTAGGTTCTTTTCTTCATTACATTGTTTTTGAGCTTTTTTCATGTCGTTGCTTATATTTTATTGTCATTCTCCTCCTTCCTGTTTTTCTTCTTCTTCCTCCTCTTCCTTGTTCTCCTCCTCCTCTTTCTTCATAGTGTCACATTTCATGAAAATACCACAATTTACTTACCCATTCTCCTGTTGATGGATATATGGGCTGTTTCCAGTTTGGGGCAAATACGAGTGAAGTTGGTATGAGTGTTTTTGTACAAGTGTTTTTGTAGACTATGTTTTTCTTTCTCTTGGGCAAATACTTACAAGTGGAAATGCTGAGTCATCTGGTAGATGGGTGTTTACCTTCATAAGAAGCCAAACAGTTTTCCAAAGAAGTTCTACCATTTCATACTCCTACCAGGAAAATCCTAATATTTGACATTTTATATCTTTAATTTTAATTATTCTAGTGAGTAAAATATTATATTCTAGTTGTTTTTAAATTAGTTTTATGATTTTATAATGTATAGTTTACATACAAAAAAGACACACATATTGTTGGGCATAATTTGGCAAGTCTTGACAAATGCACACACCTGTGTGTGTAACCACCACCCTAATCAAGATATAGAACATTTCTCTCACCTCAGAAGGTTTCCTTATGCTTCTTTACAGTCAATTACACCCACTTCTGCCCCAGGTTACAATCTCATTTCTACCACTCTATTTTGGTTTTGCCTGTTCTAGAATTTTACATAAATGGAATTACACATGTTGTACCCCTTTTTTGTATGGCTTCTCTCGGCACAATTTTTTTTTGAGATTCATCCATATTTTTGAGTCTAATGTTATTTATTCCTTTTGACTGTGGGTGTGCCACAACTTGTTTATCCATTCTTCTGATGATCGACATTTGTTTTTTTTTCATTTCTGGCTAATTATAAACAAATCTATGAATATTCTTGTACAATAATTTTTTGGATCTACGTTTTTATTTCTCTTGTGTAAATTCCTAGGAGTAGAATGGCTAGACTATATGAAGGTGTTTGTTTAACTTTTCAAGAGACGATCAGACTGTTTTTCAAAGTGGTTATCTATCAATACCTGTGAAAAGAAGGGAAGAGGAAAACCAAAGGAAAAAAACAAAGTGGTTACATAATTTTACATTCCCTATAACAGTGTATGAGAGTTACATCCTTGCCAACACTTGGTATGGTTTTCTTAATTTTAACTCTTCTATTATGAGTGTAGTGGTTTTAATTTGCATTTCCTTGATCACTTGATAGGCGTTAATTTTTTTTTTTTTTTTGAGACGGAGTCTCGCTCTGTCGCCCAGGCTGGAGTGCAGTGGCACCATCTTGGCTCACTGCAAGCTCCGCCTCCCGGGTTCACGCCATTCTCCTGCCTCAGCCTCCCGAGTAGCTGGGACTACAGGCGCCCGCCACCTTGTCCAGCTAGTTTTTTGTATTTTTTAGTAGAGACGAGGTTTCACCGTGTTAGCCAGGGTGGTCTCGATCTCCTGACCTTGTGATCCGCCCATCTCGGCCTCCCAAAGTGCTGGGATTACAGGCTTGAGCCATGGCGCCCGGCCGATAGGTGTTAATGTTGACCATCCTTACACATGCTACGTATCCTTCTGCGAAGTATCTGTTTAAACCTTTCACCTGTTTATGTGGACTATCTTCTTCTTATTGAGATGCAAGAGATATTTACATATTGTATTTATAAATTATTTGTCAAATATATTCTCCTAACGTGTAACATTCCTTATCATTTACTTAAATAGACCTATTAATAAGCAGATTTTAATTTTGATAAAATACAACTTATCAATTTTTTATGGTTAAGGCTTTTCTTGTTTTAGCTAAGAAATCTTTGTCATTCCAAGTTCATGATAGTATTTTCCTTTATCTAGAGACTCTGTAGTTTTAACTTTTATATTTAGGTCGTGATCCACCTCAAATTAATTTTTGTGTATGTGATGAGGTAAACATCAAGATGCATTTTTTCCCATATGGATATCCAATTGTTCCAGCACCATTTTTTAAGAATTTTTTCTCCATTCATTTCTTCTGGTGCCTTTGTAAAAATGTAATTGACTATTTATTATTAAATTCATTTCTGACTCTGTTCTGTTCCATTTGACTATCTGCCTATCTTGACATCAATACCACACTGTCTTGATTATAATATCTTTATAGTAACCAGCAATGTAAGTCCTCCAAATTGGTTCTTTTTTTCAAGATATTTTTGTTTTATTTTGCTGTTACTATTATATGTCCTTTGCATTTTCATGTACATTTTATCATCAGCTTCTCAATTTCTACCAAAAAAACAAAAATCAAAACAACACATGCTGGAATTTTGTTTGGGATTACATTGACTATAGATCAATTTGGGTATAGAGATATATCATCCATGAACATGGTATATCTCTCCATTTGGTCTGGCTTTTAAAAATTTCTTTCAGCAATGCTTTTCAAGTTTATATGTAGAGATTTGTTTATTTTATTTTTTAAGACAGGATCTCAGCCTGTTGTCCAGGCTGGAATGAAGTGGCATGATTTTGGCTTACTGGAGCCTTGACATTCTGGCTCAAGCAGTCCTCTTGTCTCAGCCTCCAGAATAGCTGGGACTACAGGTGCATGCCACCACACCTGGCTATTTTTTCTTTTTTTTTTTTTAAGAGATGAAGTCTCGCTATGTTGTCAGGCAGGTTGTAAACTCCTGGCCTCAAGTGAGCCTCCTGCCTCAGCTTTCCAAAATTTTGGGATTATGGGAGTGAGCCACTGCACCCAGTCCATATGTAGAGATATTAAACAAATTTTGTCAAATTTGTTACCAAGTATTTTATGTTCTTTGCTGATCATGTAAGTGACAGTTCTTGAATTTAATTTTTTAATTTTTTTTTTAGCTAGTATATATACAATTAACTGTTATATATTGACCTTGTAGGCTTTGATCAAAGTTTATATTTTATTAACAGTGAGTTTTTTTGTAAGTTCCTCAGGAATTTCTTTATTTGTAAGTAGAGAAAATTTTACTTCTTCTTTTCCAATATTTATAAGTTATCTTTACTTTACTTGCCTTATTTCACAGGATAGGGCCTCCAGTACAATGCTGGCTGTAAGTGGTGAGAGTCAATACTCTTGCTTTGTTCTTGATTTTGGAGAGAAAGCATTTGGTCTTTCACCTTTAAGTGTGATGTTAATTAAAGGATTTTTAAAAGGGCTTTGTCTAAGTTTAAAGTTTCCTTTGATTCCTAGGTTGCTGAGAGTTTTAATTATAAAATATTAAATTTTAACAATTATTTTTTCTGTAGTTATTGAGATGATAAAATTATTTTTCTCCTTAACGCTGTACATATGATAAACTATATTGATTGATTTTCAAAATGTTAAACTAACCTAGCATTCTTGTGGTAAGCCCCACTTAGCCATGGTACATTATCTTTTTTATGATGACTAAATTTGATTTGGTGGCTGCTAATTCAATTTGTTAAGAATTTTTGCATTTATAATCCTGAGAATTATTTGTCTATGATTTTATTTTCTTGTACCTTACTGGTTTCATACTCTTTTGAAAGAGTTTGTTTACTGTTGGCATTATTTATTTCTTAAATGTTTGAAATAAATCAGTAATAAAACCAACTGGACTTGGAGTTTTCTTTAGGAAAAAGTTTTAAACTATGAATTCAATTTTTTAAATATTAATGGAGTTTTTCTTTTTGTATTAGTTTCTGTAATTTTTATCTTTCAAAGAATTTGCCCATCTCATCTAGGTTATTGACTTTGATGATATAACCTTGTTCAAAATGTTTCTTTGTTATCCTTCACTGTCTGTTGATTCTATAGTGATGTTCCCTTTTTCATTACTAATATTGTTATTTCTTCCCTTTTTGTCTTGATCAGTTTATCTAGGGGTTTCTTAATTTTATTTATCTTTTCAAAGAAGTAACTTTTGATCGTGTTGGTTTCCCTTATTTTCTTTTTTCTGTTTTATTGATTCTGGCTTTAATATTGTTTTCTACCTTCAATTTATTTTGGGTTTAAATTTCTTTTCTCTTTCTATCTTATTAAAGTGGAAACACATATCAGTAAGTTTTAAATCTTTATTTTCTTCTTACTCATTTAAAACTCTAAATTTCCTAAGCATTGCTTTATCTGCATCCAACATATTTTGGTATGTTATGTTTGCAATACTATCCAGTTCAAAATATTTTCTAATTTTCTCTGTGATATTTTTTCTTTCTGATCTATGGTTATTTAGAGGTTTTTATTTTTAATTGCTAAGAACTTGTGGATTAAAAAAAAAGGGGAGACTTCATGAGTTTGCATGTCATCCTTGTACAAGGGTCAGGCTAATCTCTGCATCATTCCAGTATTAGCCTATGTGCTGCTGTAACAAGTACTTGTGGATTTTACATGTATCTCTCATTTACTGATTTCTAATTTATTTCCATGTGGAGAGAGTATTATCTGTGCAATTTAAGTCTTTTTGAAATGCATTGAGACTTACATTATGGCTCAGCATATGGTCTATTTTGGTTAATATCTGATGTGCCCTTGAAAATAATGTATGTTCTGGAGTTGTTGGTTATTGTGTTCTGTAAATGTCAATAATGTTAACATAGTTAACCTAAATCATATCTTTTCAAATCTAATAGACTTTTTTTAGTCTATTTGACCTATCATTTCCTGAGAGGGTAAATTTTGTTGTTGTTGTTGATACAGGGTTGCTCTAAAAACTATAATATACATTCTTAATTTATCATAGCCTACCTTGCATTAATATTTTTGACTTATCAGAAGTGAATATGATACAAGATATTCCACTTATCCACTTCCCTTTCATTGTGCTACTGTTACTGCTCATTTTACCTTCATATGTCATAAACCCCACAATGATGATTCTCCCTTTAACAACACATGTTTTAGAGAAATTAAGAAATAAAAAAGTGTCTTTATTTTCACCACTACACTAATGAGGAAAGAAAAAGTATTTTATATTCATATACTTACCATTTCTGGCATCTTTCATGGGGGAAGGGGGTGCAGAACCCAACTTTCTAACTGATATAATTCCCTATTTCCTTTCAGCCTGAAGATCTTCCCTTAGCACTTCTTTTTATTGTCTGTGTGTGTGCAGGTCTACTGTTGATGAACTTGCTCAGCTTTTACCTATATAAAAATCTTTTATAGTCCATCTTTGTGCTTTCCATGTCATATTTAAGAAATATTTGCCTAACTGAATAGGTTTTTTTCTGTTGTTTATTTTAGAATTTTTATGGTGTTGCCTTTTACATTTAGGTGTATCCATTTTTAGTTAATTTTATGTATGTTGTGAGGTAAGAATCAAGGTTCATATCATTTCTATACAGTTGTTCCAGCACCATTTGTTGTGAAGATTATCCTTTCTCCATCAAATTACTTTGGAACCCTTGTTGAAAACTGATTGACAATATGTATGCAGATCCATTTCTAAATTCTCCAATCTGTTTCATTGTCCTATAAGTATCTCTCTGTAATAACAGTACACTGTCTTGATTATTACAGCTTTATAAGAAGTCTTGAAATTGGGTAGTGTTAGTCTTCCAAGTTGGTTCGTCTTTTAAAGAATTGTTTTGGCTCTCCTAGGTCCTTCGCATTTCCAAACAAACTTTAGAATCAGCTAATCAATTTCTACAAAAAAAAATCTGGATGGAATTTTTCTTAGAATTACATTGAATATATATATATATTGATATGGAGAAAATTCAGATTGTAACAATCTTGAGTCTTTGGTTCATAAACACGGTATATATCTACATTTATTTGGATCTTCCCTAAAATCTTATAGTAATAGTTTTATAATTTTCAGTCTTCTAAATTTGAAGTTATACATCTTTTTCAAATTTATTACCATTCCACATTTTTTATACCATTGTGTTATTGCTTTTTAATTTCAATTTCAAATTCTGCCTTGCTAGTATATGGAAATTAATATTTGTATATTGACCTTGTGTTCTGCAGCCTTGCTTACTCACTCATTACTGCTAGTAGCTTTTTTAGTAAGTTTTGGGCAATTTTTACACAGATAATCAAGCTGTCTTCAAAGATAGTTCGATTTCTTTCTTCATTTTCAATCTAGATACCTTCCTTTTTTCTTTTACTTTCTTTATTGCAATGGTTAGGATCACCAAAGCATGGTTAAATAAAAGTGGTAGAAGCATACATGTTACCTCCTTTCTGATCTTAGGGAAAAACATTAAGTCTTTCACCATTAAGTATAATATTAACTATAACAGTTTTGGGGGATGCCCTTCATCAGAAAAGTTCATCCTATTCTTGTTTCTCTGTGAGTTTTTTCTTTCATGTAAATAAATTTTGAATTTTTTTTCAAATGCTTTTTCTGTATATACAGAGATGATTGTATTAGTTTATTTTTACTAATGTGATGAATTACATTTTTATTTATTTATTTTTTGAGATAGAGTCTCACTCTGTAGCCCAAGCTGGAGTGCAGTGGTACGATCTCAGCTTACTGCAATCTCTGCCTCCTGGGCTCAAGTGATTCTCATGCCTCAGCCTCCCAAGTAGCTGGAACTATAGCTGTGAGCCACCACACCTGCTAATTTTTTGTATTTTAGTAGAGACGGGGTTTCACCATGTTGCCCAGGGTGGTCTCGAACTCCTGAGCTCAGGCGATCTGCCTGCCTCAGCCTCCCAAAGTGCTGGGATTACAGGTGTGAGCCGCCACATCCGGCCTACATTGATTTTTGAGCATTAAAACAACTACAAGGCTTATCCTGAGATAAATCCCACTTACGATATATCATCCATCTTAAGTATTGCTGCATTTGATTGGCTAAAATTTTGTTTAAAGCTTTTACTTCTATATTTATGAAGGATATTGGTTTATAATTTCCTTTTCTTATAATGGCTTTATTTTATTGCAATTTGTATCAGGTTTTGCTATTAGGGCAATGCTAGACTCAGAAGAAGTTTGGAAGTGTTTCCTCCTCTTCTATTTTCTGGAAGACTTTGTGTAGAATTTGTATTATTTGTTCCTTAAATGTTTGGCAGAATTCATCAGTGAGCCTATTTGGGTGTGGAGTTGTTTTGTGGGAAGGCTTTTACCTATAAAGTTCATTTATTTCGTAGTTATATTAATAGCAATGGCGCTATCCACATTATTTCTTCTTGAGTGAGCTGTGGTAGTTTGTGTTCTTTAAGAACTTTGTCCATTTGCATGTAAGTTGTCAACTTTATTGACATAAAGTTGTTCATAATATTCTGTTACTATCCTTTTAATATCTAGGATTTGTGGTGATGGTCTCACTCTTGATAATCTCTGTCTTCCCTCTTTTATTTCTGATTAGTCTGACTAAAGACTTATTCATTTGTTGATCCCAATGAATCAGTATTTGGTTTCATGAGTTTTTCTCTATATTTTTCTATTTGCTTTTTCTTTAAATTCTTATCTTTATTATATCTTTTCTTCTGTTTATTTTGGGTTTAATTTGTCCTTCTTGTATTAAACTTTAAGGTTAAAGTTTAGGTCATTGATTTGAGAACTTTCTTGTTTTCTAATACAAATGTTTAATGTCATAATTTTCCCTCCATATTCTACTTTAGCTGTATCACAGAAATTTCATATGTTATGTCTTCATTTTCATGAAGTTCAAAATATTTTCTAATTTCACTTGTGATTTTTTTATTTGACTCATGAGCAACTAGAAGTGTGCTATTTCATTTCCAATTATTTGAAAACAGTAGTATCTTTCTGTGCTTATTTCTAATTAAATGCCACGTGGTCATAAAACATACTCTCCATGATCTGAATTCTTTTACATTTGTTGAGGCTTGTTTCATGACTCACATCATGTTCTAACTTGGTAAATATTTTATCTGCCCTTGAAAGAATGATCTTCACCCACAGCTGGTGCAGTATTTTCCCCATATTATTAGGTCAGATTGGCCGACAGTTATGTCTTCTATATCCTTACTGATTTTCTGTTTATTTATTCTATCAGTTATTGAGAGAGAGATGCTGTTTTTTGTCTTTGTTACTGTAGTCTAGAATAGCTCTTACTCTAGAACTACAGTGGTTTTACTTTTAAGCTATGGATTTTCTGGTGTCTCAACTGAATGCATGGTGCTGTTTAGTAAGGCCTAGCTGGTCAGACCTCCACAATTCCCCACTGCTGTATACCCGTCAGCATCTCTAGTCAGCTCACAGATTTTTGCCCCACAGATTTGAGCTGATACATCACTCAAGGGGAAGTCTGTGCAGATATCTGAGCTCCTTCTGTGCACAGCACAGTACCCCATCCAATTCCAGCTGCCTTGGCAGCCCCAAACTGCAGGCACCGTTTCTTCTTCCCATGAGACCATAGCTCTGTTTGGGTTCCACTTCTCTGTGTGGTAGTTTGGAAAGTGGCCCCGAACAGGAAGCTAAGGTGAATCTGGAACTAGCCTTTTCTGTAGGTAGTACAGTACGGGGCAGCTAGTTACAACTCAATAGCTATTTGTTGAATGAGTGAAGGAATTCAGTGGGATCCGCACACTGCCTGTTAAGGTTTTAAATGTATCTACGTCTGGAAGAAGGGAAGCCTGTGAAGCTGAAATAATGACGATGATGGATGATGGGGAACAAGCAAGTCCCAAGTTGTAAACTTGGGGAACAAGCTTGTCTGGCGGTTCAGAAGAAGAAGAAACCATCATATTACACATCTGGGTAAAATCATGTGGATATTCCCTTTCTCCCTTTTCCTATGGGGAGCTCTGTTTTATCAAAAGGCAGAGTGTTGGAAGCAACAGAGTTGGGTTTGAGCAGTGGTGTCCAAATATTTTAATCACATCCCCCATTAGTAAAATAGAAATTTAAATCATCTTCCTAATATAGGTACATTTATTTATTTATAAATTATTTTCAGGTATCATAATTGGCTAGTGTCTCAAGGCATAATATGCACTTAAGATGATGCTTACCATTAAGGATAGTAAACAAATTCATTCTCAAATTATATTCTTGGTCATCCTGGGCTTTATGGCTGGCTTTATATCATATCCGATTATGTGAAAACAAAGTGTGACTTAGAATAGATGAAACACCTTGAGATGTTCTAATATTTAATAGTTTGTTTCTCATTTTAGGGGATTTCATTGGACACCTATGTTGGAGACCTTTGGCTTAGGGAAAAGGCCTTAGGGAAGTCAGGGGGCCTGGCTGAGGTCAGCACCTGGCTTCCTTTGAGAAGCTGCCAACTCTCCCAGCCAGAAACACGCTCCTGCTGCCATCTCCTGCACTGCTCTCACTGGTAGTGTTAGGGCAGCTGGAACAGGGAAACCCAGCAGCCCTCAGTGTGAAACCTTGTCACAGCTTTGTCATTGGCTGGCTCTGGGACCTTCAGCAAGTTGATTCTGTGGA